GGATCAGCTCCGTCCAGCTACACCCTTGACGCTCTCATCCTTTCGCACCAACTCAGAAGAAGCCCCACATCTTACACATAGCAATGTTGTTGCGTGTTTTGATGAAGTGGGCACCACTTCGTTTGCCCCAACACGTGCCCATGTCATTAAGAAGTCAATTAATGCCAACGTTCCACTTTCCACCGCTTCATCCCAGCCGTCCACACAAAACACAAACGCATCACATGTGTCCACCTCAGCCTCGATCCGTGACTTCATCTCCATGCCCAATGACATTGAGGACAATGTCAAAGGTGATCGGGCCGGTATTGATACAGGTGGAAGGCCCAAAAGAATAACCACAAGACCTTTCAAATTTAAAGATTACACATTTTAAGGAATTGGGCCTTAAAAGGCCAATAATTTAAATTAGAGTCCAACAATTTGTTCCAGTTATTGTTTCTGTTTTCTTAACCTAGAATCAAGGTCCTACACGTGTAGGAACCAGAATCTTTAAAATTCCTTTTTATTTGATTGTAAGGACTATTTTGAGGCAAGGAATGAGTATCTTCTTAGCATTAACCTAGTGTAGAATTGTTCTCTAGCAATCCTCTATTATTAGGTAACTTACTCACATGGAGGTACGCATATGTCTAACTTATTTATTGTGTAAGTACATGTTAAAGTTAAAGTTAACTTATGAAAAAAAAATGATGTATGTTGAAGTGACGAAAAAAATAGTTGCGAGGTATCATTTAGATAATAATGTAACCCATTAATATTAGAGAATCTCTCTATAACGAGAAGAACTAATTATTATGAATGTCAAGGGGTATTAAAATTTTTGCCTTATATTTTAGAGATATCGATGATTATATATTTTATTTATTTTTGAGATAATAAGTTGATCTATATATATGACATTAAATGAGAGATAGTTAGTGTCATTTGAGTATTCTAATTATACATGTCATTATAATGATACTATGATGGTATTCGTAATGTGAACCTTTTAAATTTAACTTTTAAAAGTTATTATCATTTATGACATTCATATGATTTGTCAATTTTACTTTATTATAGTGCCAAATATAGTGTTCAGCATACGAAAAATTTATATATCATGATATGGTGTTGGAGAGTGCCATAAATTATGGTATTTAATATTGTAAATTTTTTCATTTTATTAGAAAATACAATCATATGATTAATTGAGTCTTGTATCCATATGAGGCAACATTCACTAATGTTGTGTCATCACACTTTGTTGTAGTGAAATTAATTTTAGATCAATCAAATACAATTGTTGAATCAAATTGTTTATTGCTTTAGAGATAGTTGATTATGAAGCTTAGTGATTGAGAACCTTTTAACAAATATTCCTTGAGAATATAAATTGAGAAATTGTGTGATAAAACAATTATTTAAAGTATAAAACTTATTGATTATGCAAATTCAATAATTGATTTGGCCAATCCTTTGACTCTAAACTTCTAAAGAATATATAATTTATGAAATATCGAGAGTTATTTATAAACATCGAGATGAATGAGACTTTATAAAAGTCACTTGAAATGAATAATGATGGTAAATCAACTTTTGTAATTGGACATCTGGTGAAAAAGGTTCGAGGAAAAAATAAGTTATTGTTAGTTCTATTAGCACTAAAATTGATCTAAATAAAATTTATTTTTTTAATCCCCTCATATACAATGCTAGTGATGATAACTCAATTTCTGTGATTGAAGATCTCATGAAAAAGGTTTAAGGAAAAAACAAGTCATTGTTAATTTTGTTAGTACTAAAATTGACTTTAATAAATTTTATTTTTTTAATCCCTTCCTACGGTGTGAGAAAGTGTTAAAGTTGTATTAATGAGAAGATAATTTTTATAGTTAAGTTTTATGTGATTAGGGGAAAGTTTGACTCTTATAAAGATTATAATGATTTTCATATCTTTTATGGATGGTGTATATGACTTACAACATACACTTGATAAAATTATATATGAGTGTCAAGTAGGACAACTTGCATGAGATCGTAACAAGAACTCTAAAACACTCATGAATAATTGACACACAAATGGCCTAAAGATGCAACACGTTGATAATGGTAAGAATTGTAAGGTATATTGTGATTGGTTAACCTCTAACACAACCAAGTGTTTTAGATTCATTAATTTGCTAACTCATTATACTATGTGTTAAGTTTTATCTATCTAGGTGTGGCTTAATAGTTTACTACACCAATTCTGATACATTATATCTGTAACGCGATTTATATAATAATAATTATATATTTCTTATATAATATTTTCGCAATTATATCGTTAACAATATTTTTTTTTATATAAAGATAAAGATAAAGAAACAGAATATTTTGTGAATGACATATCGTTCTAAAGTATTTATAATAATGTATTATTTTACACAATATTTCTTTCTTTCACTTCTATTACAAACTTTACATTGATAATGGGAATAAATTTACAATAACAAATAAAATTATAATAGATTCATCAAATAGCCTCCACATTCCAATTTCTTCCAAAAAAGACAACAACTATAATCACTGCAAAATGCTCTGAAATCTCAAGTAGATCCATCTATTTTATAATATATTTAATTTTAAAAACAAAGAAAAGAGAGGAGTAAGAACAATATCCAATAAATACAATAATTCAAAAGAATATACAGAATTATTTATAATCAATATTAAACATATATATATATATATATATAAATATAAATATATATACAGATCATATATTAGATTTTCATGATACAATAAAATTTGAATTATACTTGTAGTGACTAGTCAGGATAAATGAGCATCATCATAATATCAACCAATAAAAGGATATTTCACCTTAACCAACAATAGGATATTTCACCTTCATTTCTTACTCATTTAAATCCCCAAGGTCAAACCTCCAGCTACAAATAATTCAAACTTTATCTTCTATGGCCATAGAACAATATTTATCTTCATAAATACGTGAAGAAATAACAAGAGTCCAAGATATCACAACTATATCATAGTTGATTATAAATATATTTACAATAAATATAGTTACGTAAAAAGAATACATTAAGAGTACCAATGATATAAATAAATATGACAATCATTATAAAATAATTAAACAATATAAAATATAAACACCTTAATAATTATTATAGACAAAAATAAACATAGTTTAAGCAAATAAATGAGGTTAGGGACACCTCACTAGATAAATATACATAAAAAATAACATAAAATGAGATTAGGGACACCCCACTAAATAAATATACATAAAAAATAACATAAAAGTATATAAAATTTTAAAGAGATAAGGTTCTCCTCCCCCTTACCTGGATAAACAGGAGCTAAAACTTGAGCAGAACCTCCTCTTCTAGATTCCCTCTTTTTTTTTTCTTTCTCTTTCTCTTTCTCTCTCTCTCTCTCTCTTTCTCTCTCTAAGATTTTCACCTTCTCAATCAGTTATAATTTTTTCACAGCCCATGCCTCCTATTTATAGGCATTCAGGCGTACCCGGAACGGCCCGTACTGGATTCGGAATGGCCCGTTCTGGATCCTTCGAACATAGGCAAATTTAGCAACTGGAACGGCCCGTTCTAAAATCGGAACGGCCCGTTTCAAAAAAGTAGAACGGCCCATTCTAAAATTAGAACGACTCGTTCTGGGGTTCATTTGTACACTCATTGACCATTATCGGAACGGCTCGTTTCTAACATAGATTTTTAGGCATTTTTAAAATTCCGGAACGACCCATTTCCCTTTGGGAACGTCCCGTTATGGAAAAACCCAGTTAGGCCATTTTACAAATTTGGAACGGCCCATTCCACTTTTGGAACGGCCCGTTCCGGGCCAACAAACACAAGCCTTTTTAGAAATTTGGAACGGTCCGTTTCAGTTTTTGGAACGGCCCGTTCTGAGCCCAGACTATTATTTTTTTATTATTTTTAATTATAAAAAATCCCTTTAACAATCCCATAAATATTTAAAATACATAAAATAAAAAGAACCTTTTTTATTAACATTGTATAAAATTTGGGATGTGACAATATCGTATATGAGAACTCAATTTCTTTTAAACCTTTTGAAATATGTGAGAGATTGTTATATATTTTGAGATATTTTAAGAGTGAATCATCCATACATTACCAATGTAAAGTTTTTTACACTAGCAACCAATCATATCTTTTAAATTATTTTATTTTATTTTTATTTGATTAAATGAGCAAATGACATGACACTATTAAGAGATATGATTAGTTGTCAGTGCAAAAAAACTTTATACTAGCAGTGTACAGGTGATTAACTCATATTTTAATAGATTAATTTATTCATAAAATTATTTTAAATTTAAGTTTAAATTTAAAATTATTATTTTATTAATTAGTAATTTTAAAGATTAATTTATAATTTTTATTAATTTAAATTATCAAACATTTTTAAATTAATTGTAATTGGTTCTCATAATTAAATATAAACGGCCAATATCTTCCTTCTATAAATATCAAGAACCAGAATTAGCTAAACCCAGCATTGTACTCTTTCTCTATGTTCTTTTCTTTTTGGGTTAAAAAATTGTACGTTCGTTATCTTCAATCTAATACTTGAAAGATTTAGGAGATTTACATAAGAGTCTACACCGAACAATTCGTGTCATCAACAGAAAACACATTTTTTTGCAATATTTTTATTAATACTTAAAAGAATTTTTAAACATATACAGTAGGATCTGAAGACGCTTGTTACACGAGTCAACCAATTTATTAATAATATATTTTAAAAATATTAAATACATAAAAATTAAAGAAAAGGAAAAGTTAAAAAAAAATCTTAAAAATTTTCTTGTGAAACAAAAATTTCTAAAACACTCTATCACAATATAAATGCTGGTGTTTCTTGATTACGATATGTCGGGCCGCTCACGTAACCACACAAACAATCAAAAGAAATATTTGTTATTCTTAATATTGAACCGAAAAATAGGCAACGAAAGTAAGATACAGCGAGAATAAAAGCATGTATATTATAGAACTGCGTACGTCATGCCATGCATCAGCATCTTGATCTGATCCATCTCCACATTACATGAGACGCTATTTCCACAGTTTCACTACACAACACAGCTAACTAGCTCACATGGAGACCCAAGATGAACTTACTCAACCTTTGCTAAACTCAACGCATCACCACACACCAGCAGCAGATTCTCGTCTGGAGGAGGTTCTATCAGACACAAGCCTGCCATGCTCCAAACGCCTCCTATCAGCCACATGGATCGAACTCAAACTCCTCTTCCCCCTCGCTGCACCTGCCATCCTCGTTTACCTCATCAACAACCTCATGTCTAGCATTACTCGAGCCTTTGCCGGCCACCTCGGCAACCTTCAACTCGCTGCTGCCAACCTCGGCAATAGCGGGATTCAGCTCTTCGCCTTTGGCCTAATGGTATATATATATAGACATATGATTTTACCATCTCTTCGTTTTGACTATTAATAAACTCATACAATAGTGTATAATTCTCTAAAAGAATTTGGACATGATTCATGCATGATCGTTCTCGTTCTGTGGTTATGATTGCAGTTGGGCATGGGAAGTGCCGTGGAGACCTTATGTGGCCAAGCGTACGGTGCTAACAAATATGAAATGTTAGGAATATACATGCAGAGAGCTATTATCGTTCTGAGCATAACCGGGATTCCCTTAACCGTGGTTTACATATTTTGTAAACCGCTCCTGCTCTTGCTGGGTGAGCCACCTGAGCTAGCATCAGTTGCTGCGGTGTTCGTGTACGGTTTGATCCCGCAGATATACGCTTACGCGGTGAACTTCCCCATACAGAAGTTTCTCCAATCCCAAAGCGTGGTGGCACCCAGCACTTACATTTCCGCGGCCACGCTGCTGTTGCATTTCGTGCTGAGTTGGGTGGTGGTCTACAAGTTGGGGTTTGGGCTCATTGGGTCGTCTTTGACGCTGAGTTTGTCTTGGTGGATCATTGTGGTGGCCCAGTTCTTGTACATACTTACTGCCCCAAAGTTTAAGCATACATGGAACGGGTTCAGCGTTAAGGCCTTCTCTGGGCTCTGGGATTTTGTCAAGTTATCGGCTGCCTCGGCGGTGATGCTGTGTTTGGAGATTTGGTATTTTCAGGTGCTGGTGCTCATCACTGGCCTCCTTGATAACCCTCAGCTATCTCTTGATGCTATCTCTGTTTGGTAAGTACTAAGTAGTATTTCTATTTCACCATGTTTGTTTTAACGTTTCAACACTGTTCATCTGTGTTTTACTGCTTTCCAAAGCAAAAACGTAAAAGCAAAAGGTAGGATGGAGTTACGTTCAATTAGATATGGATCGTAAAAGCAAACATACACTCAGTGATTTGATTAGTTTCCTAGACTTGCATCATATCCCCTACCTAATTATGCGCCATTCATGAAAGGAAAGTTATCAAAGGAATGACTTGTTTGAATAAATTTATTGGAGTAAGAAAAAAATAGAAAAATAAATTAAAATATTTTTTTATAAGTTTGAATTAACTTATATATAAGTTAAAAGTTACATTTTTGAGAAGCTAATAAAAAAAAGTTTTTACAACTAATTTTAGTTTGATAAAAAGAATTTATTTATTTATTTATTTATTCTTCTAAAAGTATTTTTAGATAAATTTATCTGAAGATATCAAAATCAAATAGTATAACAGGAAATAAGAGATAGAAAAAGGATAAAAGAGAGATTTAGATCCAACATCTAAATCTTCCTATAAATCTTTTTATATTTTTAATATAATAAATATGTTTATTTTTATTTAATTTTTTCTTAATAATGTGAGAAGAGGATATCAAAAAAATTCTGTAATAATAACTCTTAGAAGAAAGGGAGGGAGACACTGTCAAGTAGAAGTGGAGAAGGATCCCATAAGGTGAGAGTGAAGAGTCTGAATTCTGTTTGGCGGCCTCTCTAGTATATGGCAGATGTTCTCTATATTAGAAATTAGGATCATTTAATTCATGTGTAGTGATTATAATGGTTATCATGTTGCAACATGCATGATGGCCAAAGGAGAAATTGCCTATAGAATATTCATGTGCCAGAGTTAGGTAATTTTGAATTTTTTTTTTCATCCTTAAGATATTTACTCATGTTGATAATAGTGACTAATCTTCTCGCTACATTGAAAACACCTAAAAAAAAATAGGATAACTGAGGTAATTTTGGATTTCACTACCAAGCATGCATATTCACTATTTTTTTTTGGGGGGATTTCTCTTTTCCATCACTTTTTTCTTTTTTAATTATTCATCGACATGAAATTCAAACTCGTGAACATCATATATATTTTTAAAATGTTTAAATTAAAGTTGCACGGTGTTCATATCAAATTAAACCTTCATATATTTTTTTTTTTTGTATTTGTTGTATTTCCTCTTCCAAACAAACGAAATCTTCCAAATTTTAGGAAATATTAAAAGAAGTAGGTTGGATCGATGCTGTAGATAATCTTTTATATGACAATAAAGGTATTTATGGCAGTTGTTGCCAGTCATTGGCTCACTTTGACAGTGATGATATATAATATTATTCCCTTCGTTTTTTTTAATACACGATTTGATTATTTTTTTATTATTTTAATTATCACTTTTTTAAAATTAATAATTTATTAATTTTATCTTCAATAATTAATATGTATTTATTAAATAATTTATTTATTTATTTTTAATTTACCTATTTCTTTTTTAATTATTTAAAAAATATAACAGAAAATAAATAATAAATATTTTTAAAAACTGAAATATCAGTCATTTTCTTATTTGTTATACATAAATTTTAATTAATCTCAAGCGTGTGATTCAGTGGTAAGGGTTGATCCACACTTAAGTAAGAATTTAATTAATTATATAACAAAATGAATAGAATGAATAATTGGAATTCAAACAATTTTAATTTTAAAATTGTTAGACTTGAATTTTATAGTTATTTTACACTCTAATCTTTCTATATTCAATTTTTATAACAATTTTCTATCAGGGTGTTAAAAAATTCAATTATGAAAGGAATAGTTTTGACAAATAATCAATTGATGTAATATTATACATCGATATGCATCATCTTCACCAAATGATGATATTCTTTTATACACACCAATATTAAATTATTATGCTTGATATATATATATATATATATATATATATAATTAATAATTTAACTTTTATATATATAAAGTATTTAAAAGTGTATATTAGAGTCGACTTTTTAATATTAAAATAATACTAGTAAGTATGATTTTTAAGTTATTTTTATAAACATTAATAAACTTATTATATACAGTTATTCTTTATTAAATGATTATATGAGTACAGTGTATAAATATTTTCTCTTTTTCTTTTATCTGTTTTATGTTTTCATCTAAAAAAAAATCTATAACTATTATAAACAGAATATATTTTGATAACTATTTTTTTAATTTTTACTTTTTAATAAATTATTATACTTTTAAAATATAAAAAAAAATATTTTTTTATTCTTTCTAAATAATTATTTATAACTTTTAATATTTATTTATGTATAATTATTAAAAACACAAAATTTTTCTATCCTTTAGTATTTAATAAAGGAAAACGAAATCTTCCAAACTTAATGGAATTTATAAAAGAAGCAGTTGACCAGTTGTGAGTTGGACTCTGTCGTTTTGTTAAAAGGAAATAAGAAAGGTGTTTATTATCGAAATTGTTGCCAGTCACATAGTATCACACTATCACGTCTCTGCATAGTGAAGTCATTGGCCCACGTTAATAATGATTAGGGATAAATAAAAAAATGATAGATATCAAAACTGGTAAGAATTCTTTTCTATATATTTATTATATATTTGGAATTAATTGCGTCTGATGATATATGTTCAGATTGATAGAATAGGATGAAATATAATCAGTTAAAATATATTTTGTTTCATTTTATTTTATCCAATATGTTTTTCTCTATAATTTTGAGGGATGGAAAAGAGCTATAAAACCATCATCTTTCTCGGCTTAAAAAAATGTCATGCAGATATACATTACAGTGATAATAAGTGTTATTAAAAATTATTTTTATCTATATTATATATATAATACATATTAATATATTATTATAAAATATAAATATATTATAATAACATATAAATATATTATTAAATTTTATTTAAAATTAATATCAAAATTATGTGTGATGAATATTAATCAGATAAATTTATTATTATATATATTATACTTATAATTATATTTTTTTTGTATGTCACGGTATATAATATTTTTTGTAATATTGTTTTATATATATATATAACATTCACTGAAATAATAATTAAATTTCTTTCATTTTATTTTAGTTCATCTCATTTTGTTTTGTTTTTAGTCATCATTAACTGTTCAAGCATAATCTCAATATCATAAATTTTAGTTAAGCCTAACAGACGCAAGCTATATGATGGTCATGATTAATTAGCTTGTGAGTGTGAATGCAGCATGGCAGTAACAGGGTTGATGCTTCAGATTGGAACTGGATTTAATGCAGCTGCAAGGTTAGACTTTTCCACATGATTATGTTTGAATTAATGAAAGAAAAAAAGAAATTATAAAATCAAATAATATATATATATATATATGTTTATTATTTAGGTTATTTGAAATAAAATAGAACGAAATACAACCATGAACAGATTCATTAAAATAATGGTTTCATTATTTAAGTGTATGGAATTTGATCAGATATTAGAGCATGGCTTGTGAAAAAGTTTTGTTTCCTTTTCTCATGTATTTTACAAGCGCATTAGTTAGTTATAATTTGTCTTGTAGAGTTGTAGTTTAGATGCTTTTATTTTTATTTTCTTTTTTAAAAAAATGGCTTGAATGTTATTTGTCAAGCTATTTTCAAGATGGAGACTAAAGTGATCCATATTAATAGGTAGTCCATGCATGGTGATGTATTGTTTTCAACCATTAGATTAATCTCTTATAGAATAAGTTACTGTAGCATGATGTCATGGCAATGGCCCCACCGGAAGCCATCCACTCCATGCCAAAACAACAATTTTTGTTTTCAATTTGACGAATCAAATCCAACCTACTCTCAATTAAGCTCCTTCTATTTCATTAGTTGCAGTAGTTATCCCTCACTTCACTGACAAAGAAAAAATATTTCATTAAGACATGCAAAATAAATATATAGTCTCCATATGGTTATGCTTTAATTAATGAAAATAAAAAAATGATAGGTTTGATTATTTAAAATAAAATAGATTGAAATTGAAAGATGTATGCATGCATGGATGTGATTGTAATCTGTGAATACAGTGTGCGGGTGAGCAACGAGTTGGGGGCTGGACATCCGAAATCAGCAGCATTTTCAGTAATTGTGGTGAATATGGTTTCTTTGATAATTGCGGTGATAGAAGCAATGGTGGTCCTTTCACTTCGTCATGTTCTGAGCTATGCATTCACAGATGGTGAAACTGTGGCTAATGCTGTCTCGGATCTCTGTCCCTACTTGGCCATCACTCTCATTCTCAATGGCATCCAACCCGTACTCTCTGGTAATCAATCACACAATTTACACAATCATGCCATTCATTAGCTAATAATAATATAATATATAAAAATTCCACATTTTTATTCTTTATTTATAGGAGTGGCCGTTGGATGTGGATGGCAAGCCCTTGTGGCCTATATAAATGTGGGCTGTTATTATGGGGTGGGAGTTCCTGTCGGTTGTGTCTTGGGCTTCAAGTTCAACCTAGGCGTCCAGGTAATCAATTCTTCTATTCCGCCCTATCAGTATTTTACATACTAATTAAGAAAGAAAGAAAGATGAAATAACTCCAAAAAGAGGATAGATAATGCATGAAAATTAAATGTTTATCTATTAATAAGAGCATATCATGTTCTAGTGTCCTCATTTTTTTTAGACAATTCTATTATTTAATTATACTATAATTCTCTTTGTGGATTAAACTAAAGACATTTATACATACTACAAAGAGGATATAAGGTAATATAATTGTTTTAATCTTCATTTTTAATGGACTATTATACCTTTAAAAAGAATCTCTCATGTTTTATGAATAAATCACTCGCAACTGTTTTTAAATTATCTCTCTTTATTTTTTAAAAATTTTTAAAAATTAAGAAGCACAAAGTATCTCTTTTTCTTACTAGTTATATATAACTAAATTTTATAATAAATTGTATATATATAAACAAATATTATATTAAAATATATAAATGGATTAAATATATTTTTAGCCTCTTAAATTTAAGGTAAATTTATTTTAGTTATTTAAATTCAAAATTGGTATTTTTAATATCTATAATTTTTATAAAAAAAATATTTTAGTCTGTTTACTCAAATTTTGTTCAAGAATATGTCAAATGTTATTGCATAAAATTTATCTACTCATGTTCTTATTAGTAAAAATATTACATTAAGTCCAATAGATAATACATAATTATTACAATGTGTCACTTTTAAATATGATATTGGCGATTTAAGGGACTAAAATAATATTTTTAAAAATTATAGAAACTAAAAATTAATAGTTTTAAATTTGAGGGATTAAAAATATATTTAAGTTTATATAAATTATATTAAAAATTAATATAAATAAATATTTTTAAATATATAATTTATATTTTAGATTTATAGTAAATAATTTATAATGTGATACAATTTTTTTTTAATTATTGATAATTTAATTTAAAATATTAAATTTAATTTATAAAATAAGTATCATAAATAAAAATTAATATATATATATAAGAAGTTAAAATAATGTTTATTCAACAAAAAATTATGTTTCACAAGTGGAAATTAGTATTTAGTTATTAATAATAAAATAAAATGAGGACGACATTTATTGACAAAAAATGTAAAAAGTTAAAACATGATACACATGAATGATGATATGAAATAAAAATTTAATGTGGTTATTTAGGTATGAGAATATAAATAATATTTTTAAAATTTTCACATATTGTAAACAAATTTCTAACCTTATATAACTTTAAAGATAATTATTATACAAGTCAATTAATTTAAAATAAATAATGATCTATGATTAGATGATTATATAAAATTGTTTTAAAGTGTGAGACTGCATGCTCTATAGTCCTTTTTTCTCATATTATACAAAAATTTGGAATTAGTTGGTTGATACGTATATACATGATTATTTATAGAGTAAACTACATTATCATCTCCTAAGATGTATGTGTATTATACGTACTGTCATTTTCTAATGTTAAAATGTATAATTTATAAATTTAACTTAATGACATTCAAATGATTTATATTTTTCTCTCTTATGACATATATACACATATTATATTATCCTTCTTTCGTTAAAATATAGTATAAAGTTCACTTTTATCTCTTAAAAATATCAGTATTTTACCATCATTCATCTATTAATTATATTAAAATATATAATTTAAAATATTTAACTCAAAATATTTAAAAAATATTCATTATAAGATTTTAGAATATATTTTTAGTTAAAATATTTTTAGTTCATTATCATTTATTCGATGATAAAAAATTATAGAATTTATAATTAAATTTAAAATAATTTATTAAAAATGATAATTGTAATAAAATTTATAAAACAATTTATATATGTATACTTTGATATATATATATATATATATATATATATTAAATTTTGTAAGAATTATATTTTATTACTGATATATTTGTAATGTAAATATATTTATAAAAAATATTTGTGTAATATATGTTTTTTACCATTATATTTATTAAATATGATAAATAATATTTTATCAGAAAATATCATTTTATTAAGATATGTTTAAAGTATTTTATTAATAACATCGATTAAATAATATCTTAACTTATATATTACCATAATTTAGTGTGTGTATATATATATATATAATAAAAATTTATTTTATTTAAATATTTATACAAATATCACATTAACTACGTTAATTAATTAAATAGTATTACCTATAAATAAAAAATACTACGTACTATTACATGTGTTTGATTTATTGTACTTTATATATATATATATATATTAGTTTATTTTGATGACTTTAAAAATATTTTAATAATTATAATGTTTATTTTAAAGATATAATTAATTCTAGAAAATTCATAATAACTTTTAACATAATAATTAGATATGTAATGAAGAGATAAATTAATTTTTTTGTCAAAAGATAAATTGTTAAAAGTGTAATATTTATATTTTTAAATAAATTTTTTTTTAATATAAGAGAGGAGGATAATATTTATATCTATTAATGCGAAAGATATTCTAATAATAATATATTTTAATAGAAGTTAACGAAACTTTAAAAAAAAAAATGCAATATAAATATCTATCAAGAAGAAAAAAAAAAAAAAAGGGGTGTAATTTACTCTCATTACTACCGCAAGGTGTAATTTTATATGAGATTTAGCGTGTATGGGATAGATAGAAAAATAAACAGCAAATATAGTAAGAGAAAACTTGACTTTGAGTTTGAGCTATCAAGTTATAATTGATGAAAACTTTGAGTTGATAGTATTTGATACGGAATTAATACAGGGAATATGGTCCGGCATGATTGGAGGAACAATGTTGCAGACCCTCATTTTATTATGGATCACCCTTCGCACCAATTGGAATACAGAGGTCAGATATTCATTCACATCTTCTTCAATATTCAACTTTTAAAAGTTCTAAAAGGTTTCCTCTCTTTTTGTTTATCATTTAAAGTAACATATATATATATATATCAAATCATTAGTTGGAATAGTATTTGATGTCGTTAAGAAAATGATTAATTATGTTTTGTTTTTGGTAAATATTATTATATAGAAAATAAAGTAATACACATGCAGTGGTTGGTTTGATGAACCATAAAAACTTGTGATAAAATAAAAAAATATATATGATGAATGCAGGTGAATACAGCAAAGAAACGATTGGAGAAGTGGGAATACAAGAATTTGGAGCCTCAAGTCCAAAGTTGAACATGTGCCCTGCTGGTTGCTGTTACCTCAGATCATTGGAATGCATAGCAGGCACATTAAGAGCCATTATCATTTGTCTAACAAATATTGTTGTGTTCAGGACGGATCTATAAATAAGGGTGGGGCAATTGCCCCCACTGATTCTTTATCCTCATTATTATATATTAGTATGGTCAAGTTACTTAGTACCTTTATTAAAAATAAAATAAAATAAAAATTAAGTAATAAATATAAATTAATCTAATGTTATAATTAGTCAATTAATTTTAAGGTCTTAATTTTAAGAAAAATATTATTTTTTAATTTTTTAAAATAAAAAATATAATAATTAATAAAATATAGTGATCAAAGTGGTTACTAAAAGATAAATTTCCTTTATATATTATTACAGATAATCTAGATTTATATTATATTATATTTTAATTATTTTTAATATATTAGTATTTTATTTACACTTTATTCTATTAAGTAATTGTTCTCATCGATAAAATTGTCTTTAATTTTTTATTAATATAATATGCTATAATTTGTATATTAAAAAATCTATTTCTTGTATAGTGATGTTATAATTTAATTTATTAGAATATCTTGTTTTTCAATTCTTTTATTTTTTTAATTCTTTTGTTAATAAAAATTAAGCAATAAATATAAATTAATCTAATGTTATAATTAGTCAATTAATTTTAAGGTCTTAATTTTAAGAAAAATATTATTTTTTAATTTTTTAAAATAAAAAATATAATAATTAATAAAATATAGTGATCAAAGTGGTTACTAAAAGATAAATTTCCTTTATATATTATTACAGATAATCTAGATTTATATTATATTATATTTTAATTATTTTTAATATATTAGTATTTTATTTACACTTTATTCTATTAAGTAATTGTTCTCATCGATAAAATTGTCTTTAATTTTTTATTAATATAATATGCTATAATTTGTATATTAAAAAATCTATTTCTTGTATAGTGATGTTATAATTTAATTTATTAGAATATCTTGTTTTTCAATTCTTTTATTTTTTTAATTCTTTTGTTCTTGTATGATAGTACAATATGTGTTTGACAAATGGTAATTTACTTTCAAAATAACAGGTACTAACTGTAACGACCCGTCTGGTCGTCACACACAACTCAACACCACAACACCACACAGAAAGAACATACATATATCTAAATAAAGTATATACAATATGTCAAATCGGGGGCCTGAATAAATCAGAGAAAAAAAACAGTCCAAGGTAGCCAAACTAGTGGCCAAAAACAACAAAACATCACAAGAAATACTCCATCTACCAGTTGCAGACCTGCCTCTTGACACCAACCTAACCATGCTCTGCTCCCATACAACGTATGATCATCGCAGTCCAAACCACATGGAAACAACAAAGGGTAAGCTAGTGAAAAGAATCAGCATATAGAACATATATAAGAAATATGAACAACTACAACTATGAGCACATCATCAACATACAACTCATCACATATATAGTTTACATCATACAGCATAAATAGCGAAAATCACACAATGCGTTGTCACGCATATCAGCTCAGAGATCTCCTACAACAGCTCAGCCTTACGGCCTCAATAGTTTATATCAGCATGCAGCACAACACAACAATTCAACATATAGCACATCTCAACAATATACAGCCCAGCTCAAATAACTTACAGCACAACAATATTATAAATCAGATCAATATTCAACAATAACAACTTACAACACAGCAATATTATCATTCAGCTTAACACCATACATCAAAAGCACCCCAACTCAACATATATCAACATTAATCAGCATTTCTTAACATATAACAGCATGTAAGTGAACTTCACATCCGCGCCCGGCGCACTCCTGGTCGCGCCCGGCGTGGCCAAACTAGAGAGTACCAGGGCTCAAACGCGCCCGGCGCAATTCCCATTGCGCCCGGCGTGCTAGGAGGCAGAGACCTCAAAAAGTCTCATACGCCCCGCGTGCCAAACCCACGCTCGGCGCAGGGTAGGTAGAGACCTCCTCAAGGTCTCACGCCCGGCGCAATATCAATTATGCCCGGCGCCACCTCTGGCAGAGACTCCCAAGGAGTCTCCATGCCTGGCGAGACGTGATCACGCCCGGTGCAGCACCAGAAACCCCAAAAACATGTTACATACTGATATCGTGCCCAGCGTGGCCCATGCCACGCCCAGCGTGGGCCATCCAGAGGCTCACACTCTCAAGCTCGCCCGGCGCATACACCCTTGCGCCCGACGGGCTTGCCCAATAGAGCCCCCTGGTGGTCACGCGCCCGGCGCCAAGAACTGCGCCCGGCGTGATACCCAGCAGCAACTCACCGAGTTCGAAAATTTCTTCAAAAACCTGCATAAACAGCCAGAAAATCCACATGCAATCGGCCCAAAACATCACATTTTCATCAACTAACCCAAAAATCACAGCTTTTTCAACATGCAACATCAAACAAAGAAAAACCCCAATTTTCATCAAACCCCAAGCAACCCCGAAAATGAGTTTTCATCAAACCAACTCAAAATCTTTGAATATTTAGCAAATCCGTGAGTTCTAGCTCACTAAAATAAAACAACCAGCAAGAAATCCTAGCTTCTCTTACCTCAGTGCAAAGATTTCGAGCTCCGAGAAGAAGAAATGGAGAAGAAGCTTAAGCCACGAGGAAGAAAAGAAATCCGTCCGGCATACTCAACAGCTCTAGATAGCACCTATATCACCATAAGGAATCAACAATTGATGGAAGAGGAGAGTGAGGAATGAGAGTGAGTGAGAGTTAGAGAGAAAGCGAGTTGGGGAGAAAGGAAATCCGCACGGGATCTCACACTATCCTTATAAAAAAAACATATATACATACAAAAATATTAAATCATAAGTTATTGTGACAATCTTTGAAAATATTAATGAATTAAAATTAAAAAATAATTCTTTAAAATATTGATGATGTTTATTAAAAGATATTATAAAATAAATTTTCAAATATATCTCAATTTAGTAATTATTCTTACATTGTTTTGTGGTTGATCACATGTTTATTCATTTTTAGATATTTGGTTATGAATGTTTTATTTAAATATATAGCTTATGAACAACCTAATTGTTAATTGTTTTGTGTAATTCAAATATGTCAAGTAGTTTTTTTTTTTGGTGTTGAATATGTCAAGTAGTTACTAATTAGAAACCAATGACATAAATAAACATATGTTTTAAGTTCTTAAAGACAAACCTATAGCATATTTACGCATATATAAAATAATCAAACATAAATTATTTTTTCATTATTTAATAGTTAATTTAGCATATATCTCAATTTTTAAAATATCAATCGGATCCTCTATTTTTTTTTAAAAAAATGTATAATATTTAATGTTATTATTTTGTCTAAATTAATGATATTAATTTAATTAATTAAATTGATGGATAAAACACCAAATAATTATTTAAAAAAATTAGAAAACTAAATTTAATATTATAAAAATAGAGATACTAAATTAAAATAATATAGAAATTGTACTAACCGTACTTCGCACCCGGGCTCCGAGTCCGAATTGACAATACAAAACAGCCCCGGACACGTGCTGCGCGATGTCAGCCCGGTATTTGAGCAAATCATACCTGATTCCAAGGATCTCGTCCCAAACCAGATCCGCCCTTCAATCATATCATATCATATCATGATATATCTTATCTCAAGCCCAAAAAGGCCCAAGGCAAACCTAATTCACTCCAAGGTACGTGCATTACTTATACGAGACTATTACACATACAAACCCTAACTTTGGCATCGGAGTCTCTTTTGCAGGTACCTCCCCCATCTTGGAGCACCAATACATCAGGCAAAGGAGGCTCACCGATCTTACTGGACGGGTCACCTCTACGACCAAATTCCAGTAATGGGGCCGATCGAGACAGCCTTCATCAGCCACCTGTATGGTTTCTACTAGAAACCACATTAGACGAGCAACAGACAACGCAAGCCACTCAGTCAACATGGACAGCGACGCTGCAACCCTAAGGCGGATGATCGACCAAGTCGAGCATATGCGACAACAGCACGACATCGACCTTCAAAACATGCGCACCCAACACGAAAACGACCTTGCAGCGATGCGGACCGCTAATGAAGCAGACCTCGCAGCATTACGTGCCGAGAACGAGCGCATTCGCGCCCAGCTCCCTCGACACCACTCCGAACAACCTCCGCACGAGAGCGACACTCATGAGGAGGAGGCACATTCAGCCTCCCAATCCCGAGCGACGACCAAGGCACCGACTTCACGGCCCGCCACGCACCGGTCTCATGCATCCACGCACAGATCAGGGCAGGGTACTAGTAGGGCCCCCACCCATATCTCCGAGGGCCAAGAACCCTTCCGCCGTCATCCTTTTGTGGATGGCATTATGGAGGCCCCACTGCCCCGCGGGTGGGAGCCCCTCCACCTCGACCGCTACGACGGCACCACGGACCCCGACGAGCACATCGACTCGTACACAACTCAGGTAAACCTCTACACTAACAGCGAAGCTATATTGTGTAGGGTGTTTCCGACCTCACTCAAGGGATCCGCGCTTCAATGGTACACCCAACTACCAGCCGGATCCATCGACAGCTTTGCCACCTTGGTGCGGCAATTCGTTGCACAATACGCCACCAGCCGGCCTCACCATCTCTATCTAAGAGTTATACATAATTTATATGATTATAAAGTGAAACCTAAAATAAATTAACTTTGATAAATAACCTAGATTTGATGGTGACTAACTTGGGATATCTTCTCTTATTAAAAAAAATATGATATCTTAAATTTTAAAAGAGTCGTAGACAAAAGTCATAAAATATAAGTAATATTATAATTTAATTATAATGATCGAGTGACATTGCTTCTTCGGTCCGAACCAAGGAATCCCTTAAATATGATTCAAAATGGATCTTATTCTATCGTTGATCAGAGATTTCTCTATGAAAAATATGAATCGGAGTTTGAAGAAGGGGGGGGAGTCCTCGACCCGCAACAGATAGAGGAGGATTTTTTCAATCACATCGTTTGGGCTCCTAGAATATGGCGCCCCTGGGGCTTTCTATTTGATTGTATCGAAAGGCCCAATTCATTGGGATTTCCCTATTGGGCCAGGTCATTTCGGGGCAA